TTGATTTAAACTTGCTGCAAATTGCTGCAGTTGTCATGGCAAACTTGAAGCAAGTCTTCTTTTTTGACGTATCAAACTTGTTGCCAGTCAGAAACAAGTTTAAATTGCTATCTGGGTTCTGATTTGAATTTACTATACATTTTTACTGGTTTCACTGGTAGATAATGTTTTTTTTTGCATAAGTCCACCATTTTATAGACAAAATATTAAATAAATAAAATTAAAAAAATTACTTCATTTATACTTTATGTGCTGATCTGTCTACCTAAATTAAATTAGATTTTGCTTATTGTTATTTGATTCTCATATAATTTGTTTGTTCTTTTTTGTGGGGCTCTTCTCTGTGGATCACCCGGTGGTTTCGCCACCAACTGGGTTCCCAGATACATATATTCCCACCGTGTACCCTTCCTCCCCTGGAGTCTGAGAACCGGGAAGCTGTGAACGTGTCGCCAGGACACTAGCCCCAAATTTGTTAGACTCTTAAAAAGGTTAGTGAAAATGAAACTCTTTTCTAGATTGTTTTGCTTTATTGGTTTCCAATACCTTTGCAAGGTACATTAGTTAAGTGATAAACTGATAAACAATACAGAACGGACACTACATTCTTTATATTGCCGCAGAGTTCAAAATATACTGCTTCTATGATTCACTGCAACCAATAGGACGGAACACGTGTCCTTTTTATGAATTATCATGGATAGTGTTCGGGAAAAATGCATCTTAAATTTAATAATTCTTAGGAAATCACAAACTACTTATTTAAATCGCGGGTATTACCCGCTTAGGAAGTAGGAAAGCTTATAGCATGATTTTGAAATGGTGATTCCTATTAAGCAGATTTCGTTTATAAAATAATTCAGATATTTTTTAAATACGGTTATCTGCTTAAAGAGAATCGATGATGATAAAGAAATACTTAGACTATGTTAGGTGATCGTTATCCTAGGGGATAGTTCCCATGTATCCCTCGCGACTAAAGTCAAGCACATATCTTTTTTTTTCTGCCGAAAGTTAATAATTTGGCCGTAATTTCATTTTAACATAAAAGGTTTCAGTAAAACGAATAGATGGAAGCTCCCTGTATTGAGCAAAATTTGACATTGCCATTGTCAATTTCACCTTAATATTCAGTCACCAAATTAAAGAAACACTCAGGAGATGTAAGACAGAAATGATAATGTATTATTCGACTCACTTCATAAACAGTAGGCACCATAAAAGTGAACTTCATCAAATAATACTAATGACGAAATCTTTTTGAATTTATCAATGAGGATGTATTAAAAAAAGAAAGCACTAAAAACGCACCTCCACTAGATGGCGACTCTAGTAATAGTTGATTTATTCAGGAAACGAATGGACCAAGGATAGTTATTTCCGTTCCTTTTAACTAACATATTAAAAAACTGAAAATCGTAAAGTTCGTAACTTAGATATTAATAAAAATACGAAAAAGTACAAATGGAATACGAGTTATTTATTGAGTTTTGAAAATTAATTTACTTTCACATGAAATAAAACCGGAAGGGTTGTCATGGAAAAATCAAAAAAGTACCGTAGCGACATATAGTTTGATTTCGGGAACAATTTTTTTTAAATACTTCCTCATTGAATCGCGTAAGATTATTCTGAACTTTACTAAAACATAACAAGAAATAATGACATTTTAGTTTCCTACTCATATCATTCCTTTCATATCATAATTCTTTGCAAACACCAGTCTTCAAATAGTATTATAAAGTTAAAAAATTAAGGTACAAAGTGTCTAATTTAAGCAATAAATATATATCACACAATAATAATACCATCATCTTAAATAAAACTTAATTAAATTAATATCTAAGCATCACGGTATACGCATAGCAAATCTCAAGTAGACAGTAAATGTAATAGTTTGTAAAATATATTCCCGTATTAAAATACCTACCTATCTACATTTCATTACGAAATTTCATGTGACTTTTTCATTCTACCCGACGAATTACTAATCAATTTGTAAAAATCCAGTCTATTCAGAAAAGATTTTAAGCTGAAAACTGGCTGTAGTTATACATTTATAAAATATATTCACGATATAATCTGACATTATTAGTTTTATTTTTATAATTTAAGAATGTGGGGTAGTTGCGATTTCTATAGGCAGTTTTCAGTTAACAACTTTTCTCGCTCTATTAACTTCAAGAGCACAATTTCTTTTCAGTTTCCAGAAATAAAACCAAGTATAAGTTCCTGTCATTAGTGGCGTAGCGTGGAGTAATCGAGACGTAAGCGAAGTCATATCACGAAAGACAGTTTCGTTTTAGTAGGTACCTTCTTCTTTCTAACAGTTTTTGTGAGTTATATATCACTATTGGGCTCATGATCAACCATTGTATTTTTTTGTTGAATAGTGAATAAATAAAATAAATAAATATATTTCTGATTATTTAACGTATTCTAATAATTTGACGGTGACAGTCTGGAGATCAAGTAAAAACCGCTTAGAAAGGTTTCTGAGGCCTTGTTTATAGCGAGCGAGCAGTGTAGTGAGCGAAGTGCTGCTGCGCTCCTGTCTTGCTACGCCACTACCTGTAATACTCTCTCTATATATCAAAAAAATATTATGTGATGTTAAATGAAATGGATTTTTATTTCCCGCGAATGTTATTTATTATATTATTGCATTAATTAGGATAACGTTATAGTGCTTTTATTTTTCGAATTGTGCAAACTGGGTAGTGCGTTACGGCAACATTTCTTTCTCATGTAAACTTTCAACATGCATTTTATATCTAAATGTTTTATCACACAGGTCATAACGGGTCCCAAAATTTCATAAACCATGAGACAGAATAGTTTCCGAACGATCAACGATTTTTAATGAAGCGTTCGCCTAAATGAGAGGCTAACGATGCCAAGAGAGTTACGAAACCTTTTATATTTAATCTTTTAACAATCAGTCCAACTAAAACACATGAAAAATTCCTGTCAGAGGTAGGTAATATATTATTTCTAACAGAATATACCATGGTGTTACATAGTCAATTATATTTTTAGAATTGAATAAATAGTTGTGATAAGAGCATGAAGATATACAGCACACAGCGTTTGATATCTTGACTTAGTATTAATTGATGACAGGTATAGAGGAAGATACTATAATATATAAGGAAGAAATCGATATTAATTATCCCTGAAAGAAATTTCTCAGTAGACCACTTTCGATGGTGAATCGATCAGTTCTCTAAAGCTATTTGCTGTACAGACAATCTAAGTTTGATTGGTGCGGCATTAAGTACAAATTGTCTAGTATGGACAAAAATGAAAGAGGTAGGTAGTACACATCTTTAAAATATTCGTATACATGACTTGATATTTTCCCTGATGATGCATGTTGTCTCAAAATAGGTTCGGAACAGATCTTGGCACGTTAGAACCGTTGAAATCAGTGACTAGGCTTGCGCCAGAGAACGCAGCTCGCGGCAGCCACTCTCACGTCTGTATAAGCAGAGAAAAATTCAAAGCAATAATTTTGGAATCATTAAAAAGTGACCACACGTAATGATACAATGCAGTTTTGTTGTCATGAGTAGATTTAGTAATTAAAAAAAATGGCTATCCCTAATTTCCAAAGTTAAATCACAGACTGAGAGCGACGGCCGCCAATCTTAAAGCTACTACTATAATTCTCTAAGCGATCAAAGATCGCAAGCTAGATTGATTTCAAAAATCTTAAAAAAATAAAATCTGCTATAAGTCCCGTAAATTTCTAATGCGCTGGAACCTTATCTATGGAACATTGTATATAACATCTCTCTGATGTCATTTAAAAATAGAAAGTATAGATAGCACATAATGCAAGATATAAATTATTTATCGAAATATTTTTAAATAATCCCCAAAATATTGTTAAATAATTTAATAACATTAAGTTTCTTAATTTATTGCATAAATTTTTCGAAAAGTAACATTTACTTTGTAATAACGAGAAAACAAACAGAAAGGACATTTTTTAATGCATAAAAAAAGTAATAAGGAAATGAGAGATATTAGGTATTCTTAAGGTAATGAGAATACGATAGATATATTCATTTTTAATGAAATTAAGTTTACTTGATGTGAAAATTAGAATAGCAGTTGTTATTTAAGTCGACCATAACGAGTAACAACAAAACTTAACAATAACAATCGAAAACAACAAAAACATGATAATAATTCTGTGTAATCTCAAAACAACACAACTCAATAAATGTACTCGTCAACCAGTGTTTATTTGTTAACGGTACTAATTGTTGAACGCAATTACGTCACCAAAATGGCGGCCAGGCGCATTACCAATTTGCGGGGATTATAGTGATCAACTTTCAACGGTTTAGCGGGGGCGCAGAACGGCGCGTACAGTTCTGAAACGTCTCTCGAAACCGAGTTTTGTGTAGAGCGAACGGGACGCGTCATTCTCCGGACGAATCACGACGAAAGGCTTGTAGCCGCGAGCGGCAACCTCCTTGGTGAGCCGCCGAGCCAAGTAGATGCCGTATCCTTTCCTACGGAACTCAGGGCGAGTCTGCATAGAGAACATGGCGCCGTAGTACGACTGAACCATCCAGGCGGCGAGCTCTCCCTCCACGAAGATGCCGTACGCTGGCAACTCGGCTACCAGTTTCTCGAACACCTCGCGGCATTCGATATCGCTAGCCGGATACAAGTCGTACACTGCTTTCATGTGTTCTGGTTGCAGACGAACTAACTCCACGTCCGATGGCAGTCTGCAGGATCAAAAAATTGAAATATTTTAGTAATTGAACTGGCGAAAAGCTCTCGTTTAAGACAGAATAAATGATCGATGGCACATTTGGTCTATTATTTGATTGATACAAGATAGTCTATATATATTATAAATTTGATATCTTAAGTATTTACATAGATAATTATTGTTTGTTGAAAAGAGTTTCTCCTTCTTTTTCCCTAATTAAAATGTAAAAGTTCGTATGTTCATGTGAAAATCAGTTATAAGATGTTTATGAAATAAGCTTAAATATTATGAATAAACAAAATCAGGATGATACATTACAATAGATTAGTTAATTAAAGTATTAAAGTTAAAGTTAAGGAGTTCACCGCGGAGTTCACAGCTTTGTAGAGGTAAAATGGCAAAAACCGTGACGTCATGTGACATTTTTGCTCAATATATAGCCCTAATTTATTGATAACGGAAAAAAGAAATAAGTCGGTGTTATACCTTAATAATCTTACTGACCGACAGACAAAAAAAAAATAGTAATCATTTTTAGATAAAAGAATAAAAATCTCCCAAGAGTTGACTCTCACCCATCAGTGGTGGCCTCCGTAGGAGGATTATCACAGACGTATACATCTCCGGTGATTTTGTCGTGTGCTTCATAGTGCTTCTCGAATCGGTTCACGATCGCCTCGTGTGTGAAGTTCAGGTACAATGGTTGGGTAAGGTCGATCAGGACGTCCTCGGAGGTCACAAGGTCTACGAGTTCCGCGCGCTCTGAGGGACAGAACACCGACACGCTCTCGTATGGATGGCTATTTGGCTGGAAAATAAAGGTGGTCGATTAATTTTATGAATTATTATACCCTAGAATACTTTTTATAGAAGCTATTAGAGATATTTATTAAATAAGTATTTCTTATTATAATTGATTCACTACAAATTATAATTAACTAGTTTTCCGCTCGCGGCTTCGCTCGCGTTGTCCTGTATTATACATATAAATCTTCCTTATGAATCACTTTGTATATTGATAAATCGCATTAAAATCCGTTATCTAGTTTTTTGTAATATTTTTTTTAAAGTACTTTTATTATTAAGATATGACAGACTTATCGTACCCTACATATTACGTTACCTACAGCTCTAAAATAATACTTAGGAGATCCATAATCATCGATGAGTTACCATGTCGCATATAGGTAAGTTTTGCTGTGTTTGCCAATGGCTCACTCAGTAAACTTTGGAAAATCCCTAAGTCTAGTCGGTTTTACTTCAGAGCAGTCATCGGTGTTCGTCGCTCTTTTATATTTCTGCGACACTCCAATAACAAGTGTTGAATGTCCTCAATTATTCCACAATTAGGCGAATTTCTTTTTTTTATTAAGAAACCAAAATTGTTAGTCGCATAGTATCCAGATCTAAGTCTATGCATGACTACAATACCCTGTCTTCTTAAATTACAGTTACTTTCACACTGGATAGTTTCATAGAGCCTCTTCGAATAAAGAGGTTCACACTGGATAGTTTTATACCAAATACCTTTGAATGTTGACCGTTATATAGTTATAGTTAAAAAGATCTCACCGTACAGACAGCGGGAAGCAAGTTTATTTTATACTATCTATAGGCAAATGTTGACATTGATTTATTTAATACTTCATTTAACAAACTTAAAGGCCTTTTAGTAGACAATTTTTTTGATAAGTGAATTTTTTCTCTCTCGAGCTATAAGTTAATATAAAATAATGAAATATAAAGAAAAATAAAGTAATGCTTAATCTTAAATGTTAACCTACTATAATTTTGATTTTATTGCTTTTAACTGTCGATTGTATTTTCTATTGTTTAATTACCTATAAGTGGAAACTTGTAATTGGCCTTCTTTTTAGATATAATAAATATTCTATAATATTATCTAGCTGTTTGTTTTCCAAAGATATTGAAAATAAAATAAAAATAGATTAGATACAGATGAACTACATAAAACGTATAAAATTAGTGATGCTCCTTTTTCTTATTACAGCGTACATAATATTTGTAATTGTAATAAATATATATTTTTTATTATCTAAGGAACAAATATTCCAACTAAGGGATAAGCTTTCGCATGAATTTATTTTCCGTAATTTCAGTAATCAAGTGGTACCAACAGTATTATTTCATAAAAATACTTTTTTACGCTTTCGCGGGTAGTAAATAAATCTATAAAGGCGAAAGAAATGTACACAGACTCTAATGCGATTTCCCAATAAGTACTTTGCTAAATAAAAGAATAAATGTCATTTGAAAAATATTTATCTTTCTGTGTCTGTGGAGAAATGAACATATTTTCATGATGCTTTTAAAGCAACACGGAAATGTCTCGAGTGAAGATAAGCGTCTCTCAACGGCGCGCCGTCGTGGAGAGATGCCGCCTTTTAATGGAAATACTCGGGAAAATGGGCTTCAAATAGTGAGGTATGCATTTACCCTATACTATGGTTTATGTGCTATCTGTACCTATATCAAAGTTACGGACGGATACATATTCTTATATTTATTAATATAAAGAGGAAAGATTTGATTGTTTGTATGCATTGAATAGGATTTGAAACTAAAAGACTGATTAAAAAAAAATACGCGAATGATGTACCTATACAACCGAATTCTGAATTCATAATTTAAGAACGTCTTAGACTGTACACAAACATCACTTAAACAGGTTTTCCTTTCCGGTTTTAGTTGACGAGAATAATGACATGAGATGAGTTTACTAATTCAGAAACCGGCCGTTATAATTTACGCGGGCGATGATTTACAGTTCGTTTTTTTATTAGTTTATATGACATATGTAATATATTAAGCTACTTACAGTGCTAGTGCAACCGGGGAAGTGCACACAAATTGGATCCTCGGGCCAATTCTTCGCTACATAAAAATGGAAGTCCCACACCTTGTTGTTTAGATATGTTTGAATCGTCTGATGAAACTGTTCATAAAAATAAGTAAAAAATTGTTTATTTTAATGGAAACTTCACTTCACTTCACTAATTCACTACGCTGAACGAATCAATAAAAGATCTATATTTATGTATGTATATTGTAATTTTGAGAGTTGAACTCCAGCTCTTTCCGATTTAACCTCTTAAACACTGTGAATTGCGGATTACTGAAGGTTGTCATCCTTATTTGATTGATTTTCTACTAACATCTCATCATTTCTAAAGTACAATATTTTATAGATAATTTTCTGACGCATCAATTTTCACATTAACGCTTACGTTAAAAATTTAATAAATAGGCTAGCATGCTTCATATAATTAAGCTCTTCTTAAAAGAGAAGTTTATTTACAGCCATTTCATCTATACAAAACATATAAATAAACATTTGTATATGTTTTTTTTGTATTATAAATCAATAGCATAAAAAGGCTATACAAAACTGTCTTATTTTAAAGTTAAGTAAAGACACTTTACGATACTCTGATAATATTATGTCTATGTCTATGACGTGCACCGCAGCAATGTTTTCTTAATTCTCTTTCTCAACAACATCATAATAAAGTAATATCTACGTAATACTCTTTAGAGAACTCATAAGTGTATATTAAATTTCATGGAAATACGAGGGTCAAACTGAAAGTTCTTAGAAAATCAAAAACTGATTACATTAGCCAGTTATTAGTTTTATTATATCTTTTCAAAATATTGTCCATTCACGTCAATACACCGCTGCATGCGATGGAACCACTGGGAAAAGCACTTTGCCCACTCGTCCTTAGGGGTCTCTTCAATGGCATCGCGATACGCAGCCACCGCTTCTTCAGCATTCATAAACCGCTTTCCTTTAAGTTTTTCTTTAATTTTTGGAAATAAATAAAAATCACAAGGCGCGAGGTCGGGGCTATACGGCGGGTGACCCAGTAATTCAACGTTTGATGTCGCCAAATAGTCGATCGTTCGCTTGGCGGTGTGCGACGAGGCGTTGTCGTGGTGAAGGAGGATCCTACTGCGAGGTCGTTTCTCTCGAACTTTTTCCAAGACAAGTGGCAAACAATTGGTAGTGTACCATTCTGCAGAAACTGTTTTTTGATCCTCTAACACAATTGTTGCAAAATGACCTATCCTTCCAAAGAACGAGGCCACCATTTTTTTTCCCGCACTTCGATCTCTCTTCACTTTAGTTGGCAACTCCTCGAAAGGAAACACCCACTGAGCAGATTGTCTTTTGGTTTTAGGATCATAACAGTAAATCCAGCTTTCGTCACCTGTTAGTATGTCGAACACAGCATTTGAGTCACCTCCGTGTCGCCAAATAGTCGATCGTTCGCTTGGCGGTGTGCGACGAGGCGTTGTCGTGGTGAAGGAGGATCCTACTGCGAGGTCGTTTCTCTCGAACTTTTTCCAAGACAAGTGGCAAACAATTGGTAGTGTACCATTCTGCAGAAACTGTTTTTTGATCCTCTAACACAATTGTTGCAAAATGACCTATCCTTCCAAAGAACGAGGCCACCATTTTTTTTCCCGCACTTCGATCTCTCTTCACTTTAGTTGGCAACTCCTCGAAAGGAAACACCCACTGAGCAGATTGTCTTTTGGTTTTAGGATCATAACAGTAAATCCAGCTTTCGTCACCTGTTAGTATGTCGAACACAGCATTTGAGTCACCTCCGTTAAATCTTTCAATCATTTTACGACACCAATCCACACGATGGAGTTTTTGAGCCTCAGTCAAATTATGAGGTATCCACCGGGCGCAAAGCTTCCTGACCGCTAAATGTTCGTGGAGGATTTTGTGCACTTGACTCATACCGATGCCTAAGCTTGTCCGAATCTGTTGATAGGTCACTCTTTTGTCAGTCTCTATCATACGCCGCACAACACAGATGTTATCTTCAGTCGTCGCCGTAGAAGGCCGTCCCTCACGTAAATCATCAGTGAGATTAGTGCGACCACGTTTAAACTCATTAAACCAGTTGTAAACAGTCGCACGAGATGGGGCTTCATCGTGAAAGGCCAATCGTAGTCTATCATAACTTTCTTGTTGACTTAAATGACATCGAAAGTCATAAAAAATCATTGCACGAAAATTTTCTCGTGTTAAATTCATGATGACGTGACACAGACAATTTTCAATTTGCCGCCAAATCGTAAAACAAATGACAAATTAATGAAATATATACTCAGTAATATTGGCAAAGAGTTATATTTTCAAATTTTAGAATTATTTTTTTATTATATTGTTTATAAGTGGCCAGTTCTAAGAACTTTCAGTTTGACCCTCGTATTATGTATTATTTTAAGGTAAATGCAGTTGCGGATGAATGTAGACAATATATTATCGAATCGAATAAATATATTTCAGATGTAGACTCATTTATTATCAGCCAGTTGCACAAACGTCGTAATTAGTTTAAAGCGACGTTACCCATACAGATTCGACATTCATTAGCGTTTAAAGGAGTCATTAAACCTTAATGGAACGTTTGTGCAACGGACCATATAACACATTATTGTAGCGAGTTGTAAAAGGAAATACTTATTTTGGATTTGAATACATTTAGAATTTAATATATTTTAAATAAATTTATACCTTTAGAGATTCAGGCATATACTGCACTAAGAAATCGGCCACAGCTGGGAGTTCTTCTTCGGTTACCAATCGAAAGTTTTTTCCCTCGGGCGCGATTTCCATCTCTGAAATGATAAGGATTAAATTTGTCATTATTTTTTGTTTAGTGTATTAAATTTATACACAGACGACGCTGACGAATAGTGTCGATATTTTCTATATCTTCACGCTACATCCCTTGCAGGGCACAATCTTTACATACATCTTTTGCCGCCTTCACTTTCATTACTCTTTTCATTCATACTCGCTGGTTTTTAAGACTTCTGATATCACCTTTCAGCAGCACGCGGTTGTTTTTGATCGTAAAAGGTGTGTCATGACCTTCACTTTCTGCATCCTTCCTCTTTCTACTAGTATAGTTTACTAACGAATGTATTTTATATTATACTTATACTAACGCAGTATTTAATAATAGATTGAGTTAGAACGTAATTTAAACTGCGTAAAAGAATAAAATCTGCTGTGCGTTAGATTCTGCACTCCAAGCTGTGAGTTACTATTACCGCGTTTGTGATGGCAGAAAAACCGGCCAAAAATATGTTGGCTAAGATGTAAATTTTGTCAAGGCTTGTAGTGGTTTTTGGCAACAAGGATAACAATTTTTTTATTATGGCAATGTAATTCTTCGTGTAATCCATCAGAAGAACTACCATATGTTAAATTATTTTTACCATACCATATTTTGTTTAATGTAACATCGTTTTTAAATTGTTATTGAAGTTAATGTAACATGATGATGGGTAAATTTGTAGCAAATAACAAAACAATAGAGTGTCGGTCCGCCCGTGTTATAACGACAGCCTGCATCGGGTCAAGGCTGGAACATTTTGCTGCATGCACAGACGCAGTGCGATGCAAATGACCAATGGTGTTCTTGTATTTATGCTATTGAACGTCGTAAGCTTCTGAAACTACTACTCTAATAGAACGGCATATCTTGTGTCTCAAGGAAGAGACAAACAAGTGCGGTCGGTTCTAAAATGCGTTATAAACAAAGTATTAAATATGGTAACAAAACTTAATACCTTTCTTTAACTTGGACAAATATAAATAATTCGAGGGTAGACAGACAGTCCCTGAAAGCTTTCTGTTGCAACTCCGCCGTCATAGAAAATGGTCAATCCCGCAAGGTCCCATTCCAACTAAATCTTGAAGCGCGAAAGTGAAAAAACTTAGAAAATAACGTTGTGTGAAGGGGTAGTAGGATAATAACTAAATTGTCACAGAACAACGTGGGAGACTTATGACCAGCAGTTTAATACCCTCGGTTATCGAAGAAACTAAAAGTAAGTCCAAACTCCTTTCTGTCGCACACAATCGGAAAAGTCGCGTTTATTGCATAGGAGCCCCCCTATTACATATTTATTTTATTTGATTTTTTGTATCACAAATACATTATTTGTGAAAATTTTAACTGTCTAGCTAACACGGTTTATCAGACACAGTCCAGTGACAGACGGACAGCGGAGTCTTAGTAATAGGGTCCCGCTTTAGTTCTTTAATTACAGAACTCTGAAAACAATATAACTTAAAGAAATCAAAAATATCCAAATTAACTTAAAGAAATCAAGAATAAGCACTTGGATTTTTTGCAAGAAATTACAAATCTTTTTTAAGTTTAAGGGTTGCAGGTAATTAATTTACAAGTGGAAAAAGGTTCAAAGTATCGTGTGAGTAACCGATTCGTATCGATTCGAATCAGCGGAGTACTCCATATTGTTGTACAAGGTGGGATCAGCGACCTATAACATCCCGTACAACGATATGCAACACGGAAACAATAGAGTTCTATGCGTAGAGATATGTATCGCTTAGTTTCAAAGCTCACATTTGGGTCGTTGTTCGTTTTTTTTCATACCATTCTGTAGTAGAATGTTTGCACGTATTTGCTAAGGATTGTTAACGTAGTTCCGTAGCAACGACATCGTACCTTTACACGTAAGCTTTATAGCTTTACGTATTTTTAATATTAGTTTTTAATAGCAATTTACTAAGGCTAGCTGTTTCCACAATTTCACTCGCATAAATTATGTAGTTACTAATTTTGATGCACTTTTTTCTTTTTTTTTGTGTTTTAAAAATCACAGGAGCAATAAACTCACATTTTAATTTGTTTACATTTTAGATATTATTTATCTAAGTTATTTACTTTAATAACCGCGAAGGACCCGATACGTTTAAAAAAGTAGAAAATTTAATAAGTATATGGATGTAATTAATCCGAAATTTTATTTATTAAAGATGTATTTCTCTCAATTGAGTCCTTTAAGACTATAAAATGTATTAAAAGATATTATCCTTAACGCATAAAAAAACATGGTAGATTTTCTGATATATAAAGCCTCCTGTAAAAACTGATACAGACTTTGAATCACCAAATCGCAATGTAATTTTCCAGGGGCGCGTAATCGGAATCGCGTGAGAGCAATAATTTACCGAGATTGATGTTTAAATCTTTATCACACTTTTTTTATTTTTGGGGACGTACCTACCAGGTATAACGTTATAATTTTTTTTTCTAAAGGTAATTGACGTTTCATTTTTACTTATCATATTTTTTTTATTAATTAAAAATATGTCTTAATAATAATAATTTCATTAGTCACTCCACATTCCTATTATAAAATTTGTGATTAAAATAAAATCGACGAAAAGAACTCTAATTGAGATGTATAGAGAGAGAGCGAGAGAATATTATTTTTAAGTTTTTTTCTTTAGTCAATAACTTGGCATTTGTCGATTTTAAGTACAAATTCAAAAATGCTAATAATAAACTGACAATAGGGTGGGTGCGCCAGTCGCATACCAGGGACCAGAAAACACCATTCCAATCATCAAACTTAAATACTAACCTTTTTTGCATTTTCCACATTTTTTTAAGTTTGGTAACACAGTATTTCTACCAACTATGTGATCAAAACCTAAAAAAAGTTTCACCTTAGGCACACTGCGACTTTTTTTTTTAATAAAAGTTAACTTAGTAACAATTAGGAAAATTTTAATAAGCTACATAATTATGGCAAATACAATGATTTTTTTGGTTATTGCAATAATTCAGTAACATCATCAAAACTGGTTTTAAAATGTTGCTTAATCGGTTTGCTAATGGTCCACCCATCCTATGTCTGTATCTTTTTTGGTGGCAGTTTCGTCTCAGTTTATATGATCTTGTCTTTAACAGAAGTACACACCAATTTCGTGTTGATTCTAGCATAGAATTTTATTGAGTAAGATTGCATTTCTCGAAGGCTTTAATGAAAAAATTGCCAAATCCACCAGGCGACGCCATTTTTAATCTCGAAAAGAGTCAGTGTGCCAATTTAATCAGGAGCTAGAAATTATACTGGGCACTTTGAACAAATTGTTGTTAACGTTTACGGATGTAACCTACTAGATTATTAGATTTATAAAAAATGTTATTTAATTAATTTCTGTGATTTATTTTTATTTTATACATGAATTGATAAAATCTTAAACAAAATACTACTAATGATCCAAAGTTATAAAAGCAATTAAGCAGCTAAAGTACTTGTATGTGGAAATCTGTAACAACTAAGATAGCATGGTATAATATACAAATGTTCATCTCCTTTATTTGCCTGACTGGGAATTGAACTCGGAGAAGACCACGTAAGTACTATAGCCTATGTTACTCCTTGATAATATAGCTTTATCAATATTATCTATCAGCAATGTGAAAGACTAAAATCAGCCCAGTATTTTATTACCCGACTGCGCGACGCAAAGGTGGGTAATGTGTTTATCAGTCTATGTATGTATGTAATCGATTGACGTAAGAATCATCAAAATCGGCCGACGCATTTGGTTTCTAGAACGCCACATAGAAACAAACATACATACATATACTGATAAACACATTACCCTCCTTTGCGTCGCGCAGTCAGGGAAACAATGGTTACTATGGCAAGGTGTATATACCATATAAAAACTTTTACTTCCATTTTCATTCGTTTATTTGCTGGTTTTCGGGATAAAATATAGCCGAATGGAATGTAGCTTGAAAGAATTTTTAAAATCGATCCAATAATTTCGAAGCCAATTCGATGCAAACATACATATAAACAATCATATCTTTCCTATTTATAATATTAGTATAGATATCAATATATGTATGGCCGTATTATTTTTTCATTATTAATTTTTTTTTTGTTAAAGTTTAGTGAGTTGAGTATTAAGGTGTTTCTAAATTTCATATTATATTAAATGAAATTTATAAACTATCGTTTGCACAAGTTAAAATTATTATTTAAACTACTAAGTAATACAAAAAATATCGAATGCATTTCACACGACCTCGGACTGAGGCGTGTTTAAATAATCTCTCTGGACATGCAATTTCGTTGTGCAGCGAGCGTATATACCATAAATTTTAACCCTACAAGGAGGGCGAATGTGCAAAGGTTCAAGGGCGGTAGTGACGTCATATCCGCATCATGTCCTGCGTCTGCCGTCTACGTATACGTAACCGTCTTTTGTTAGCGTTCCTTGTGTAAAAGCTTATATGTTTAACAAAGCGTCTGAATAAATTAACGTATACAATTTCCGTATGTTTCATAATCATCATTACATGCTTATTAATGTCCCAACTAAGGCACAGGAATAGACTTTCTCTATAGATGGAATCCAATCGAGTATGGAGAATTGGCCATGGCGAGTGTCCAGTGCAGCTAAATGGGTATTAATGACTGCAGATGCTTCCGGGATGAATGGTTTAACGTGCCTTTAGAAGCACGGACGAGTTTGAAATAATAAATTTTTGGTTGCCTTCATCCTGTGATGGGCGATTGCGAAAGTTGCTTCACTTTCGCATCGATCAAACGCGCTAATTACTCGCGCGGTCGAACTTTTTTAAAAGTTTTATGTTTATTGTTATGTTAAAAAGTTAACATAACAATAAACATAAAAAAAGTTTTATGTTTATGTTTAGTGTTCATGTGTTACATATATAAAGCCTTCTCTTGAATCACTCTTTATATATATTGATGAAAACCGCATTACAAAGCGTGGTGATTTTAAAAGATTTCAACATACAAAGAGCAGGA